CTAGGAGCGGCCCGGCCTGATGTCACCCTACACAAAGCAAAATACGTTTCTCTAGCTCTCAAAAGAAATGATACAGTAACATATGTAAGCTAAAAATAAGCATGCAAAAATATATTTTAAATTCGTATTTAAATAATAATAATAAAAATAACATAATAGTTCCACTACATAAAGGATTGTAATATCCTATTTAACTAGAGTAATTTACTAAAACAAACACCTTTCTCAAAATAATTCCGATTTAATTGTGAAATTTCATATTTAACATTTCATAAATACTCTTAAGATATTTTCCCTTGTGAGATTAAAGTTAACTCATTATCGAAAAATGTAATCGAGCAATATTTGTGCGACATAAGATAGTTTCTAAATGTCATATTCGTCTTTAGTAATTAAATTTTGTTCTACATTTTGGAGGTTCAAAAGTTAGATTTTCAAAGTGAACAAAATCTTTTTTTTAGTTACGGGCAGTCCGAAAGTTCAATTTTCTAGCTGCTAAAAAACTTTGTTATTTTATGTTTCAAGCAGTTCAAAAGTTGGATACTATAACTAAAGATAAAATAGAAATAAAAAATAACATTATTTAAGACCAAAACATAAAATGACCCACAATGTGAAGGTACGCTATTAAAATTTGGTTCATATCATGGGTCATAGAAATTGTGGTTTAAACAATTTTATTTATTATTTTCATTTTACCGCAAGTCCAAAATTCAAATTTTTGAATCGCCTAAAACATAAAAAAACAAATTCTTTTGGGCAGTTAGAGCATTCAACTTTTCCAAACAAAAATAAAAGTTGAGTTTGATCACTTTGAATGTAAAACTTTTGAACGTTGTAGTTAAATAAACATGATCAGGTTATGAACCATATTATACTTGGCTTTATTGCTTGAAGTTATTTGCATCGTCTGTTTTGTTTCTTTTGCATTCCTATGCCTATTAAGGAATTCTCACTTTCTTGTAAAAAAACATATTTATTAGGACAGTAGGATTGTGATCTACTTGGACATTGTAGGCTGAATTGTGTCTAGTTTTTTTTTTTTTTTTTTTTTATTTTTTTTTTTGTTTTTGTTTTTGTTTTTAGAGATAGTGCTTTTAGGAAGCCTAATGTTAGAAGCCAATGTCATATGATTCTTTTCGCAAGCCTTTCATTCTAATATAAAATTGAAGCACTCATAATTTTTATAGGGGAAGCTTTCCATGTTCTCCTATAATATAGAAGTTCTATCCTCCCCTACCATCCAATTGTCCATTTTTTATCAAGAGAGCCACTCACCATTTGATCTTAGATCCGATGTCTCAAAGTATTTTATTTTAATTTTTTAATTACTAAATTTTTTAGAACTATGTAAATTTGGTACAAGCCATCTTCTCATT